GATAATTTTAGACGAGCTGAAACTGCCTTGACATTTCCCTTCCCCTTCCTTGCCTCCATTCCCTCCCCAAACATCCTGGCTTTACTACTCCACAGAAATCCTCCCAGTGACAAAGTCTACAAAAATCGCTGAGAGCGCCCAGCTATCTACGCAAATAACCCAATTTGGCAAGGTTAACCTGTAACTTGAGGCTATGAAAACACAGATTCTACTCTCCAGATGGCAGAGTTCAAAGTTCCAGCTACTTCCTGACTGAATGCGCGCAACTTATTGTGATTTCAGTTAAAATGGGGGGTCAAAAGTAGTAATCCAGCAACAAACGATTTAATGAATTATATTCTCCTAGCTCCAGTCAAATTTACTTTACTCATGTTTACTTTATTATCAGTATCTGGAATTTGTTTTTATTTTATGCAAATAATATGAATTTGTTCAAATATATTATCGTGTTATCTGTCATTTTGAGGATTTAAAGCCTTTCCTCAGTTATCTGACCACCATGGCTTGTGTCATCGGCCATAGTCTACTGCATCAGTAGCAACACAATTATTTTATCTAACAAAATTGGTTTGCTTTCTGTCTCATTTAAATTCCCAACACCCTTGTCAGAGAGTAGGGATGTGAATTTTTGGAATAAATAATAATAATCTAGTATTTGGGTGGCATCTGCTGGGGTAGAGCCCAGAGGAAAATCTGTGGGTGGAGCCAGGAACAGGATCTAACAGATTTTTAGTGTATGTCTAAAAGAGATTTGTTTATTCAAACTGGTTGATTTTTGTTCCATTCCTTGTAAGGTTGGTTCTGGAGGCAAAGCTTGGAGACAATAGGCTGCCCGCCTCCTTTCCCACATAGTCTTTCATGCAACTTATGACTTCTTTGGTCATCTCATATAGAATCCTGGAAACTGTAGTTTGTACTGGGAATTGTGACTTTGGGGCTGCCAATCAATTCTCAGCACTCCAAACTAACTACGGTTCCCAGGGTTATTTTTTTTTGTGGGGGAGGATTGGTATAAGAGGACTGTTAAAGTGGTGTAAGAGTGTTTTTAATGTGTGGGATAGATAGATGTGACCTTTCCACCCCTTCCCACCATTTTCCTATATCTTCCTTGCTATCAGGCCCTTCTAGGGAGCAACCCCTTAAAAAACAAACCTGGAAGGGCTAGAGCTATAAGGGTAAAACACTGAGGGAACAACATGGCCATGCTTCATGCTTTTTTGATAAATGATCCTGAAGCCAAGCCAAGCAAAACAGATCCGCCCCCCCCCTTAAACCCAGTGAGGCTACCCTCTGGTCCCAGTTCCCTGGTTGGTTAGCAACTGTTTCAGGAAGGTTTGACCAAGAGTTATTTGCTCACAACCAGTCAAGGCAGCTTTGCACAGGACACAGACAGAGCAATGGTGGAAGTGCAAGTGAATGACTGCTTATGTGTTCCGAATAATTCACGTGTTTCCCTCAGGATTTACATCTGTGAATGTTAAAAAAGACTTACACCTCAATTTGCTGGGAAGGAAATAGGCCCTTTTCATTTGGAATCCACATACTTATTTATAAAACAGTCCAATTTCAGTCAACGTTTCCAGCGTGTCATAAAAATACATTCAAAGCACAAGAAGCACCGACAGCTTTAAGATGCATCGGTAATAAGTTTGTCTGGTAGGCAAAGAACGAAACACTTTTAACAACAATTCTTTTTAAAGAACACATGTTCTTTGCTTCCTGAGCTAAGTGTTAATTCTGCCAAAAAAGAATGTGGAAGTGTGAAATTTCGCTATCTGCTGCCTTAACTCTTGCCATGTGTAATTCTGGGGAGTGTTTGCCCCTCAAAAGTTTCCCTTTCCTTTTTCTTTTTGAAAATGCAAAGCAGAAGAGCAAGAATAAAGTTCATCCAGTTGGTTCTGTTTTGCCCTCACAGACAGGGTCATTAAAGAAAACAGCATCTGAAAACTGCTGGCAGGACTCCTGGCTGGACTGAGGTACACTCCAGGAAATCGGCACTCTGAGTTCCAAGCAGAGAGCTTATGATTAATTTTGCAGGCATTTATTGTGCAATGTCAAATGGCTACTGGCCAGCTCAGGAGTTAAGCCAGGAGATGACTATCAAACAAAGCTGTTATATCTGGCAGCTTTTCTCAAAGCTGCTGTGCAAAACAGACATATTGAAGCTAATTTCTGGATTTACTAGACGCATACTTTTATCCTTGGGATTTCCCCCCCTCTCCTCTCCCTCTCCTTCCCTTCTGAAATGGAAAAACATGTCCTGACTTGCAGAGTGTATGTGTGTATATATATACTTAAGGTCAAGATTCATACAGTGGACAGTTTCATGTCTTCTTTGGATGTTTAATAGAGACAGCTTCGGCTCTCCACCCCCCCACTCAGCCCTACCCTGGTGACCTTAGAAGGAACTGCTTGCATGTTATTTCATTTTCTAAAAATGAAACTCCACATCTCTGCGAAGGACTTGACTGCCTCTGTTTAGAGATGAGGGGAGTTTTTGAACAAGCAATCAGAAATAATGGTTTCAGATTGCCTTTGGAAATGGTGTCCTTCTCAGGTTTACCTTGGTTTAAGGTCAGACAGAAAACTCTGTTTAGACAGTACCTGGCACAATAAAGCTTAATGTGTAACTGGGTTTTGTCTTTCTTCTGTGTCAGCAGTTGGCAAGGGGGTACTGTAAATACGGATCCCTGTGAGTAAACAGATATGTGCGTGGAAAGGGGAGGGGGCAACTGGTGTAAGCAGTTTTGAAATTCATGCCCGTGTTATTTTAAGTGATAAGATTATTTGAGTAACCTGCCAGCCACGCAGATGCCTGGGTTTCAAAAACAGGAAAGAGCCTTGTTTTAAGAAGAAAAATCAGCTTCTGAGGCAACACTAAGAGCTTGAAAAAAAAGGAAAAAAGAAACTGCCTTTGTGGTTATATGATTCTACTTTCTTACTAGCATAATGATTTAGGTGGTGCAAAGCATCATGGGACAGCAGGGTTGCTAACCACAAACCCCAACAGTTACTTACGATGACAAAGTTCTGAAACGGGCCATGGAACTTTTGGAAGAGATGAGAAATCAAAAGTTTCCCTTTGAATTCCCTCCGCCCTTCAACTCTTTTGTTGTCGTGGTTTAAATGGATTAATGCAGAAGTTCTTGGAAACTGTCATTAAAAAGGAAACTTTTACAAATTTTTGCCCAAGTTTTCCAACAATCTCCAATGTCCATTGTCTTTTTTGCTTGTTCTTTTGTAAACTAAAGGAACCTAAAAAACTTCAAGTTGGTCACTGAAGATGTTGGTTCCTTCCTTGAGAAATGGGGCATCTTTAAGACAGAACTAATTAATTCTTATTCTTCCCCACTGCCGGTCTGGATTTTTAAAATTATTTTTAAAAAGAATGTCCTTCTGTACTATGATTGACAGACAGCATTTGAGATTAAACAAATTATCAGGCTGGTGGAAGACCTTCCTGAAATGGAGTGTCTTTAAAGAATTAATGCACACAAGATATTTGATTAAAATAATACCTGCTTAGATCATCACTTGAGAATCTTCTCCTTCACTCAAGGTGCATTGCCACCGCTGACAGATTATTATTTTTCCGCTTAAAGCTTTAGTTTAGTTTATTTATATGCCACTTTCCCATAGCAATAATGCAAACAATTGGAAAATACAAAACATATCAATAAAACAAATTAAGACAAAATCAATTCAACAAACAGGATAAATTCAATATTACAAAGACATAATCTAAAGTAGAGAGCAAAATCAAATGTAAGATCCCATGGCCTGTGTCATCATCATCTTAATCACAGTGGCCAACCAGATGTCTATGGGAAGGTCCATGAGCACAATAACACCCTCTCCACTTCTGCTCACCAGCAACTGATGTTCAGAGGCATATCACCTTTCAGACTGGTGAAAGTACTTGAGAGATTTTTTAAAAAATAAAAATGATTGGCTTATGGTTCATATGTTTATTTGGAAGAGTAAAAATAGCTTGGAAGATAAAGCTACCCTAGAGCTGTTCCCATCCCCCACTGTCTGCTTGACCTGTCACTAGCATTAATAAAAAAGGGTAAAAACAAACAAACAAACAAACAAACAAATAAACAAGCCAAAACATCAGGAGACCCATTGGTAAAGGGAAAAAGGGGTTCTTTACGTACAGTTACTTAATATTCACAAAGGCAGCTTTGAATTCATAGATTCATGAGATTTCATAGATGCCTCATGCAGGAGGAGAGGGAAGAAAGAGAATGAGCAGGAGGAAGGGGCGGAACTTAGATGTTTAGAGGGAGACCACCAAATGTATTTTCTCTGACTACCCATTAGTCTCAACGCTGCCCTCTACCGACTGGGGGCAGGTTGCTTATACCCAATGGTACTGAGTCAACAGGGTTGGGGAGAATTCTTATCAGGCTAGAAGGTTCATAGCTGCCTCCCTCACCACAGCTTTAGGGGAAGTTGACACCAGGAAAAGGGAAGTGCTGGGGAGGACAATGATAGTGGGTCTGCTGACTCAACACCCCAGATGGTCCAGCTGCTGGTGTGAGTCTTACTGCACTCCAGGGGTGGGGTGGGGGTGGGGGGAGCACAGCAGCCAGCCTGGCTCCTCTCTTACGTTTGTACAGTTTAGATTTCAAAGAACCTCATATTTCCCCATGATACGATGAATTCTGCAATCATTGCATGATTGAAACCCAGTGAAAGCAGATTGTGTGAAGAGAACCACTGCACAAATGACTGTCGCCATGCTTCCAACAAGCTCAGTTTTTTTTAAAAAAAACTTTGTCCAAAGAATAGTGACTGCAGAACCTTTTAGGCAACCTGTTCTGTTGTGTCCTAAACGATTGGAGAGTAGTAAAGGATAAAATGGGTGTCTTAGATCATATCCAAAATTAGTTCCCATCTGCATTGCTGTTATTTTCATCCTTCAGCTGGTAATCAAGATGGCAAGTCATTATTAAAGAGGATCAGAAGTGTATGCAGGGGGCCATTCAGAGCAGTGAGAATCTCCATTTAATAGTTCAAAACATGCCACACACAGTTAATCCTCAGAAGCGCCTCTATCTCTGTCCATCTTACTGGTTCTACACTTTGACTGATAGTCAGATTTTTATTGTTTGTAGCCAATACCTGTTACCACGTAATTTAGAAAAGCAAAGTAAGAAACCCAAAGGTAAGTTAAAGGTATACTTTTTTGGAAAATGCATGTTGTTGAAACTTAAGATTGTATATCTTAACAAGTTATTATGATTAATATGATTATGATGACTACTATTATTTTGACATTCAACACTGTTTTGGGTCAGGAAAGTGGCCACTCTGTAGCTCATTCTTGCTGCTAGTGCCTTTGATCTGGCTTGGGCCGTGTACACAAAGATGGCCATTTGCTGGCCTATTAAAGAATCTGCTCGTCAGGTACTCTGTAATTTTTTGTCCCAGAGCTTTCCCCACAAAAACCCACTCTTTAGCACTCGACCAGAGCAAACGTCAGTCTGGGTTTTCTGCAGATTGATGTTTGCTCCAGTTGAGCTTTAAAGAGTGGGTTTTCACAGGGAAAGCTTCAGAGCAAAAAAAGTACACTTGGACACATGAGCTTTAAATCATGGACAATGCCTGTAAAGAGTGGAGGAAAGCTAAGTGTAAATAAGCTAAGTGTGTATAAGCTCATAGTCTTGGAAAAGTAGACATTTGAACCTTGCTGAAAATGGACTTCTTACATACCTATCTACCTACCTACCTCCTCAAATGGTGTCCTTAAGTGATTGCAATATTGTAGTTTGGGCACAGTACTACACTATGACCTTTCATGTGTACGAAGCAGAGTGCACAGTTTTAGCTAAAGATGATACTGGGTGACAATAAGTCTCTTGAATTCCTGCATGATTTTGCTCCACTGATATAGCGAATAATTAGACTGTTCAAAATTTGCCAGGTTAAAAGGTAATGATAACACAAGCCAATGGTATTTCAAAGGTAGTGTTGACTGTTTCCAGACGTTTGACACTTCAGTCTTGGCCACCATAAAAAACAGTAGTGCAAACTCAGTGTGGGCTACACGAAGCAGTCGTATACTGAACTTATTTCACCCAAGAGTGAATATTTGGATACATCTGCTTCAGTTTGACCTTTGTTGTCCAGTACTAAATCCCAGAATGCTTATAATTCAGGACAATTTGAAGAAGTAGAATTCTGAGGGTGTTCCAGGCAGGTCTACAGAGTTTACTTTCCATTATATTCTTGGCTGCTATGCTTCTGCTGGTAAATGACTGATTACTGAAATTAGTTGTAACACCTACATGTACAATTAATATTACCAAGTGTGCAGAGTGTTTAAATGCTACTTAATATTACCTGTGTCCAAGTTAATATATAGACACATCATAATAGAATGGAAAGTATTTTAGAAAACTGAGCAGTCATTTCCAGAAATTAAAAATAAAGTTTGCATCACATTGTTATGAGCCAGTTACTTTGTCTTCTAAAGTGTTCTTCAGAAGAGCCCAGATGAGGTCATGAGTCATTCAAGGCTCAAACATCCAAATGTCTTGTGGCTGTTCCAAAATTCTTTCATCAGCATCCCACATGACATTAAGAGACAGTTATAGTATTTTGTTTTGCTTCCAAGTTTGTATCCATTTGTTGGGAAAGCCTGGAAAAAAACCTGTTTTTCAGATTGTTGGAAAGCTATCGGCTGTTTTGCATAAATCAGTTCTCTGTTCTTCTTTCCAAAGTGAGCAGCTTTACGTGGCGTAGAGTATAGCTGGATTATTCATGGCTTTCAGATGGTTCTTCTGTGCCTGTTAGTCATCCTTCTAAGAGGAAAATTGGCCATGCTATGATGGAAGTGTCACAAGGCTGGCAGCTCAGCGATGGACAAAAGATGCATCCTCTTAGCAATGATACCACATTCCTGCTGTTATTCCATCCAAAGCCATCTGTCATGGCATTGCACTCTGCTTCTTCTCCCAAGCTTTGAATCATGTAGTTGGAAGAGACCTTGGAGGTCATGCAGTCCTGCCCCCACTCAGTGCAGGATCTGCAACGCAGAATACAACCACAGTAGCCAAGGAGGTAAATACTGCTCAATGGGGATCAGCACAGTTTTTCTTTTACCTTTGAGAACCTGGAATGCTGCACTAAAAAACCTTAACAGTGCAATTCTATGCAAGTCTATAAGCAGTGCTCCCCCCCCTAAAAAAATGTTTAGAGGTACTCTCATTATCCTACTCATAGTGAAATACTGCCCCTCAATGAGGTTAAACTTACCGTATTTTTCGTCCCATAGGATGCACCGGCCCATAGGACGCACCTAGTTTTTTGGGGGGAAAATAAAGGAATTTCCCCCCCTTTATTTCCCCCCCAAAACCAGGTTGGGGAATCCAAACCAGGTCGGGGAACAGCGGGATGGCGGTGCTGCGCCTCCTCGCTGTCCCCCGAGCTTGTGGGGCTGCGGATGTCTGCCCGAAGCGCGGGGCGCTCTGCTTCAGCGTGCCCCGTGCTCCGTGCAGCAGGCTGCTATCCGCAGCCTAGGGAGTCCTGCGGGAACTCCCGCGGGCTCCCCAGGCTTGCTGATAGCTTCCTGAAGCCTGGAGAGCGAGAGGGGTCGGTGCGCACCGACCCCTCTTGCTCTCCAAGCTTCAGTGAAAGCCTGCATTCACCCCATAGGACGCACACAGATTTCCCCTTCATTTTTGGAGGGGAAAAAGTGCGTCCTATAGGTTGAAAAATACGGTAGATTCACAAAATGTTTAGGGGTATATGTATCCCTGCATCCCCCCCCAGAAAAAAGCACTGTCTTATAAGTTCAGTGTGATTATTTCCACATAATATTGGATTGCAGGCTAAACGTGGCAACCAGCTTGTGCAAACATATCATAATCTTTTAATAATGTATGCAAAATAGGAAACGATGCAATGAAGTCCTTAATTTTCTGGATCCATTTCAGTCAAGGCTTTGGGATGGTTTTGATCTAGAGTGGTTGCCTGTGTTTGGCTGGGTGGTAATGTTTTGCAGCAGTGCCCTTTCTACTTGCATGGCCGAATCCAGAAGGTGGTGCTGGGAAAGTATTGTTTGGCTCCTTGCAAGCCCTAGGGCCTGATGTTATCTTTCATGCTGTTTAACATCTACATGAAACTGTTGTGTGATGTCATCTAGAGTACACTACGCTGATGACATACAACTCTCTTTCTCCTTTTTGGGTGTGGTAGGATATCTGGCTGTGGTAATGGACTGAACAAGGGCCAGTAAACTGAAACTCATTCTAGACATGACAAAGATACTGGCAGTAGATGGTTCTCCTGTCTGGGTAAACAGAGTTTCACCTGCTCCCCCAAAGAATCCCAGGAACTGTAGCTTGCCCTTCACAGAGCTACCATTCCCAGCACTTGTAACAAACTACAGTTCCCAGGATTCTTTGGGTGAAACCATGTCCTTTAAAGGTATGGTGTGTATGCTGCGAAGTTTTCACTGAGGCATCGCATAGCAAGTCAGCATTGCCTTGATATGTGCTTACTGCTTGGCTGGAGAGTTTATAGGGAACTTCTAGGTGGAATAATTTGTGCTCTTAATAGGTTAAAACATATGAAGGCATGGAAGCTATTCAGATTCTAGGTTTTACAAGTCAGACAACGTTGCTCTGAATATGGGCTGGAGATGTAGTTTAAACTGTCTTTTCTTCAGGGTCCTCCCCCCCTCCAAAAAAAACTTGAGAAACTGGAAATCTCCAGCCATGACCTTTTTTTACACTGGAACATTTTAATGAAGAATATTCCACATGCATATCTTTTGTTTGCCTTTTAAATGGCAAATTTGTCACTTGATAAGTGGGTGGGTTGCATATTCATACATTTTGGTGTACGAAGCCAATCGTGTTCACTGTCCTTGAAGTACAAAGGTTCACTCCAGGTGGCAGCCCTACATTTTGTGGGCCTGTAGACCCAATGTTAAAATGCTTGGTTTCCACCCACTCTTTAGTATGTTGGACTGTATCTTGTCATCTTCCTAGAATCTTCCGGTAAATTAGCTGGAGGACATTTGATGAACATGCTCCAGTACTAAGGATGTCATATGTTCCTTCGAGTTCTCCCTAGACAGTTTAAGCTTCTTTGAGATGCAAAATAGTGGAGGGAAAGTCATGTTTCCCACAAAAAAACACACCCCACAATTAAAAGTTCCATGAACTTGGAGTGGTAAAGAGTCACATGTAATCCTTTACAACAGCAACAACAAAATCAAGCTGTTTATAGTTCTCATTAACTGCAGAGGTTTGGGGAGGAAATGATGAAATAAGAACTAAGGGCTGGAAAGTATTGTGACACAGAAAATGAACACCAGGCTAGGTCCATCTAAAGCCAGTCAAAACCCTATCCCCAGTCAAAGAAAATACCTCAAACAAACAAAAAGCCCTCCAAAACAAAAGGAAAAGGAAAATAAAAACTTGCCTGCTGGATGAATAATCTGTCTATGAATCAGAGAAGAAGTGGAAACATTGTCTCCTTCAGTGCATGATTTGGAGCAGAATTATAATATATGTATATCACTGCTGCAATTGAGTTTTAGGCTGTGTACACATTCTTGGCTTAAAATGCAGCAAGGGTGTTCTTTTCCTCAGTTTGGTTTGAAGCTTCCAGTGGCTTTGTGAAGATCTGTAGGGGATTGCCCCAGGCAGAATGGTTTCTACTGGAACTGCCTCTTTAAGGAGGCCCCCAATCCATCCCTACAGGAGCCAGGCTGCTGGAACTCAGCTGGCCCAGGCACAAGAACAACAAGTGCACTATCATGACTTTTGGAGATCATGACCTTATTTCGCCAAGATGGAAAGAGAGGGGCAGATGGGGATAGGTGAAGCTGACCATTTCAGTTCCTCATTTTTCAAACGTTAAGCTGAGCTCTCCACATCTACACATCAGTTAGCGATTACCCCCTGCAAAATTCTCATGAAAATCCATCAATATTTTTGTGTGACATTCATCCTAGATCAGGGGTAGGCAACCTAAGGCCCATGGGCGGGATGCGGCCCAATCGCCTTCTCAATCCGGCCCGCGTATAGTCTGGGAATCAGCGTGTTTTTATATGAGTAGAATGTGTCCTTTTATTTAAAATGCATCTCTGGGTTATTTGTGGGGCCTGCCTGGTGTTTTTACATGAGTAGAATGTGTGCTTTTATTGAAATTGCATCTCTGGGTTATTTGTGGGGCATAGGAATTTGTTCATTCCCCTCCCCCCCCCACAAAAATATAGTCCGGCCCACCACATGGTCTGAGGGACGGTGGACTGGCCCACGGCTGAAAAAGGTTGCTCACCCATGTCCTAGATGCACATTTTTGTATGCAATATCCCCTAAGCTAGAGATTCCCCCCTAATATAATGAATGATTGCATGTTATATTCACTAGTATGACCATTTATATGTCCATCTTACATTACAAGTGCAAGTCTGTAATGTAAAGGTAAAAGGTATAGGACCCCCTGGACGGTTAAGTCCAGTCAAAGGCGACTCTGGGGTTGCGACACTCATCTCGCCTCAGGCCGAGGGAGTTGGTGTTTGTCCACAGACAGCTTTCTGGGTCATGAGCCAGCATGACTAAACCACTTCTGGCGCAACGGAACACTGTGACAGAAGCCAGAGCGCATGAAAACACTGTTTACCTTCCCGCCGCAGTGGTACCTATTTATCTACTTGCACTGTCATGCTTTCAAACTGCTAGGTTGGCAGAAGCTGGGACAGAGCAATGGGAGCTCACCCTGTTGTGCAGATTCGAACAGCCAACCTTCCAATCAGCAAACCCAAGAGGTTTAGACCACTGAATAACTGCATAGCAAAATTCAGGGAAGTGCAAATTTTGAAGGATGTATGGGTTTCAGTTCACATACAGCTCACTCCCCCAAATACAGCTCACTGTGCAAATGAGCCTATGTGTTCCTTTTAATGACTAACACTGGCATTTTTAAAATGGTGCACAATGATGCTAAAATGCACGATACTAAAAAAATTATTCCCAAGGTAACAATATTTATTTATTTTAGGATACGTCTAGATGTGTGCTTAATATTGCAGGTTATTCAGATGTCACAAATGGGTGGTTGGAAGCAGATTTATTTTTTAAACTGCTCTATTCCCTTCAGAAAGGGTAGATCCAGGTTAAAAGATGGTAGTGGTGAGGCATATGTGCTTGTATTTTGATGCCAACCATGTTGTGCGGACACTGCACAAAACTTGAATATTCTAGGATTGGTGTGTCCCATGCAAACACCCTTCCAGAAAACCCTTACTCATTATTCTCCTACATTTCAGGGCCAAACTCTGGTAACAAGGCATCTTACAAGAGAAAACAAAATAAGTAAATCACACCATTTATCTTTGTACATTTAATGTGCACTGAACAAAATTTCCAGAAACTGGATTTAGAAAACAAGGTTTTGCTTGAGGTTTTGTTTCACTGCAGTACAGTTATGCTTGAGCTTGGCCAATCTGAGAAGCAAGTGAAAAAACTGCTGGTAAAAATGAAACACTGTTGTAAAGTGTTGTTAAAACTGCTGCTAAGTCTCTTTTCCATTTCTGTTTTCTCTTCCCTCAATTTTACTTTTGTTTTTAATTGTATTTTATTTTGATGCTATCTTAAGATTCTCAAACACTCTGAAGAAGAGCCACAGGTGGAAAGGAAGTGTGTGTGTGTGTGTGTGGTGTGTGTAATGCTTAAAAGAGCTAACAAAAATAACACATTTTTGACAGTCACACACCATAACTCACAGCATCAGCATTGGTTCTAACATTTATGGTTTTATTTTCCAACAAGCCTGTCAAACAGGTTGAAAGCCTATAATACTATCGCTAACACGCGGCTGATAAAAAACAGTTATAAAACCACTTCTTACTACTAACCCACAAATAAAAATATCAAAAGCTATGCATGCGTACCAAAAATATAAATACAAATTATGTGTGACAAATGGTGTTGCTTGCTTAAAACCAACGTCTCGCTGGTTTTGGGTTTGTTTCATTTTCATTCTTGTTTCTTTTTTTAGATAATCATCAGTTTTTAATTGTTTGGGCAATTGGTGATATTAAACAACTTAGCAAACTCAAGCCTCTAGAGATTCCTATTAGAAAATTATACTTATTTACCAAAATTAATTTTGTCTCTATCTGTATAGGGTTTAACATCATCCTGTGGTTGAGATGGCTCACAGCAATGCTAAGAACATCATGAAAAGCAGTAAAAAGAACATTTCAACAACAACAAACAAGAAAGCATTTCAAATCACCTGACCTCAACTCTTAAATGGAGCTCCTTCCTGCTTCTTTCTAAAGGCCATCAGCGATGTCTTCCAGAAAATCTCCCCTGGGAGGCCATGCTACAGACTCAGGGCCACTAGCAAAAAAGCCCTGCTACTTCTTGAGGTCAACTTGACTTCTCACATTAATGGCGTACAGAGAAGGGCACTCAGTGTAGATCTCAATTTGGTTGAAAAAGATTTATGGGAAAAGGCAGTCCTGTGGATATGTAGGGCAAAGGAAATGAAGAGCTTTTAAGGCTAATGCCAGCACCTTGAATATTCCTCAGAAAGCTAACTGGATGTGTGTACCTCTGGTTAAGAACATAATTCATTCCGGAGGTCCGTTCTTAACCTGAAACTGTTCTTAACCTGAGGTACCACTTTAGCTAATGGGGCCTCCTGCTGCCGCGCGATTTCTGTTCTCATCCTGAGGTAAAGTTCTTAACCCGAGGTACTACTTCTGGGTTAGCGGAGTCTGTAACCTGAAGCATTTGTAACCCGAAGCATTTGTAACCCGAGGTACCACTGTATAGTGACTGAAAAATCGGTTGGTTCTCATCTCCCTACAGCTCTTTTCAGGCCCTCAGTGTGGCGAGGGTATGCCTGGTGCATTCAGCAGTGATGGAGGCTGGCTGGTATGCGTGTGTCTACCTGCTCCCCCTCACCAGTTTAAGCCCTTGCGTATTCTTTGGAACCATGACACACTTCCTCATCTATAACATAGAATCATAGAATTATACAATTGGAAGGGAGCACAAGGGTCATCTAGTCCAACCCCCTGCAGTGCTGGAAGAAGAAGAGTTTGGATTTGATATCCCGCTTTATCACTACCCTAAGGAGTCTCAAAGCGGCTAACATTCTCCTTTCCCTTCCTCCCCCACAACAAACACTCTGTGAGGTGAGTGGGGCTAAGAGACTTCAAAGAAGTGTGACTAGCCCAAGGTCACCCAGCAGCTGCATGTGGAGGAGCGGAGACGCGAACCCGGTTCCCCAGATTACAAGTCTATCGCTCTTAACCACTACACCACACTGGCTCTGGAATCTTTTGCCTAATGTGGGACTTGAACCCATGAACCTGAGATGAAGAGTTTCATGCTCTACTGAGCTATCCCTGCTATGTTTCATGTTTATTCATCAAATCATCCTATTCAAATCAAAATTATTATTCTGATGGGAAGTAATGCTGCCTTTTCACTCAAGACTGAGGAAAATTGGGATGGAATTTAGATATGTCTTATACCATGGATTCATTCCCAGGTTATGTCACTTTTTATATGCCTTGACTGCCTATACACAAAACCTTGGTGAAATTGGTTTAGGGACTGCAAATCCAAATCCATTCAGACGCTGTTAAGTGTCATGTGACAAATAAAGCAATTACTATGTTGTCATAAGTGGCTTGGTAAGAAGGTGACTTTTCTGGATTAGATAACTAAGAGCTATATACTGTTAAACACAAAACAAGATGTGATGACGTGTGTCTGATATTGCTCAACCTGAAGCATGAATAATGCTTAGAGTGGAAGCTCCAACGATTGCAAGCATGCTCATGTGTCATTCTGTGTGTCAGTGCGAAGGAAGTTTAGACTCTGAACACAGATGTGCTCTGAGCATCTCAGTTAATTGTCATTTTTTAAATAGAGAAAGTTCCTTGCCCTAATCAAAAAAGACATATGGGCAGGGTCACGTTAAGGATCAAAAGCAAATGGACAGTTTCCAATAACCCAAGTTATGTTCTGGGTAACTCCCTGCACCACCCATGGCTTCCTGACCCTCTGCTCCTATTTCCTCCATTCTTCTCCCATGTGGTCAACCTCCCACCCCGACCCTTTGTCCTCCTTTATCTCTGGCCTTGCCAAAATGTCTAGGATAACCAAATGTTGTATTTGGAATCACTTTCATGACTCAGAGGTACATTTACGAAGCGTTTTCTGGGCACAAAATGTCGTGTCTCTGTGCTGATTTTGGATGTGTTTATCATGTATATAGAGAGTACAGCCTGTCCTATTTACAACTTAAGCTGCAACTATGCAAAGAAGCCACAAAGATGTAGCTACTTTGAGTTACTTCCCCTGGTTTCCTAGAACTGATCTAAGCTCTAAGAATTAGGGCACCAGAGACACTGTCACCAGTGCCTGGGCCTGAACACTTCTTACATGCAGAGAACTGGCATCAGCACCCAGCATAGGATTCCTTAGACGGCGCTCACTACAAAATTGGCTGCCCAAATAAATTTGTGAACATCCTTCAGCTCCTCCATGATAACATAATAGCAACTATCACAAATAACAATGGCTCTCAAAGTGAACCATTCACAGTGGGATCAGGCATTAAACAGGGATGTGTTATCGCCCCAACTCTATTTATTATTTTCATTGCCATGATCCTACACTCTGTTGAAGGGAAACTCCCCACCAGGGTAGAAATATATTTAACAGATGGAAAGCTCTTTAATCTGAGTAGGCGGAAAGCAAAGAGTAAGGTTACCATAACTTCCGTCATAGAGCTTCAGTATGCTGATTACAATGTAGTGTGTGCACACTCAGAGGATGGGCTCCAAACCATCCTAAATATCTTCGCAGAAGCTTATGGAAAACTTGGCCTATCGCTCAATATCCCAAAAACCAAAGTGCTGCACCAACAAGCACAAAACAACCCCACTACAATGCCACAAATCCAACTTACTGATGTAATTGGAAAGTGTTGATCACTTCACTTTTCTTACCTGGGCAGTTATCTTTCCACAAGGGCCGACACTGATGCGGAAATCCAGCATCCAGCATCTGTGAGCTCAACTTTCTCCCGATTGGAGCATAGAGTGTTTGAGGACTGGGACATTCGTAAGGAAACCAAAATGCTCATTTGAAAACCTATTGTACTACCAACTTTATTGTATGCTTGTGAAACATGAACCTCTTATAAATGCCATCTCCAACTCCTTGAAATATTCCATCAACAGTGCCTCCAATTTTTTTTTTTACATCATTTGGAAAGACAGGGGAACTAATGTCAGTGTACTGGAGGAAGCAAGATCACCAGTGTCGAAGCAATGATTCTTCAACATCAACTTCATTGGACAGGTCATGTTGTTTGGATGCCTGATGATCGTCTTCCAAAGCTCTATTCTCAACTCAAGAATGGAAAGTGAAATACCAGTGGATAACAAAAGAGGTTTAAAGACGATCTTAAGGCAAATCTAAAAAATTGTAACATAAGCACTGATAACTGGGAAATACTGGCCTGCGAGAGCTCCAGCCTTTAACCAAGACTTTGAAAAAGCACAAACTTAGGGCAAAAAGGAGAAATAAGCTAAGAGGAAGACACGTTTGGCAAACCCTCACTGTGATCAACTCCCACCCAGAAACCTATGTCCCCACTGTGGAAGGACATGTGGATCCAGAACTGGCCTCCACAGACACTTACAGACTCACTGTTAAGACCGTGTTCATGGAAAGCAATCTTACTTGGCTACAAGTGATCACCAAAGAAGACTACAAATGCCTGTCTTGTGCATCTCTTTTAACGCCACCCCCAACCCATCACTCTGAGGAAGTGTCAGTCAGCTGGATCTAGCTGTACTTTTAATTTCCCATAATTCCCCTGGCCTAGTGTTGCTCTGGGAATTGTGGGAAATTTAAAGGGTGGCTAGGCCCAGTTACCAAGTATTGCTTAGAGTGCTGGTAAGCCCACCATGGCCCACCAAACAGAGGAAAAGCACCATCAGAGGATATTTTGTTCAGGGCTCCCTCAGATCTGAATCTGGCCTCACACAGACTGTACCACTCCTTTAAATAATAACCATTTGGTAGCTGGCTACTTGAACAAATGTCAACATTGCTTTGAAGGACATGCGGACCCTGGGACCATGATTACTCGAATGACTGTGAACCTTGCAGTTCCACTGGGCTTCAGAACATTTCCAGTGTGCAACTGTCCTTGACCCAGGAATTCAGATTTTCCATGTGCAAGTGAGAGAGAAGCCTTGTCCCTTTCTCCAGCACTGTGATGCCTTCTAAAAGGCATGGAAGAAGCAATCTCCCTGTTCCTTTTCAAGAAGGAGTAATACGGAAAGACACTGAAAAAAGGGTGCAGACTAGGGAGTGGAGACTATGATTGTCTGGGGAGGATTTGGCCTGATCTACTTTGCTTCACCTTGCTTTGATATTCTCACAGAAGGCAGTGCAGTTCATGTCATTAAAGTGGAATACTTTGGTGCAGGATATGTACATTGCCAAAGTTCAATTGATCACAGAATCATGGAATTGTAGGTTTGGAAAGGACCACGAGGGTCATCTAGTCCAACCCCCGGCAATTCAGGGATCTTTTTGCCCAACTTGGGATTCGAACCCACGACCCTGAGTCTCATGCTCTGTCAACTGAGCTATCCTTCTTAATGATCAGTACAACAGCACTGCAGAGGATGTGCCTTGTGGTCTCTCACCAGCCCACACACATTTCCCCTCCCAAATTGCGGGGCAGAGAATAAGATATATCTGTTGCTAGCTCAGTGAAATGCTGGCTCGTCCATCTGGCAGAAATTACACATGTAACAGTAAGCCCTGAAACATTTGAGACCAAGAACATTTGTCAGTTGTCGAAGAGGGCAGCCTGCATTTGCTTCCTTCACTTACAGGGCATGTTTTACTGCTTAGTCAGCTGTTAGGGAGGCATACAAACTTTTTTTCAGTAGAGTTGTGGTAGAAAATAACTGATCAGTAAGTCAAAAGTGTCAAAGCTGTCTGGGTAGGTGGAGGCACTAACAGGAAAGCAGGAAACCTTGTCTGCAAGTTTAGAGCTTGTGGAAAGGAAATAGTTTCCATCCGACACAGAGATTGTAGACTAACTTTGACAGGAGGGCTCAGACAAAGCCAAGAGTCATTTCTCCCCCTCATCCCACTTTAATGATTTCTGCTTGCTGCAGTTTAGCACTCGAGGGAGGAAGTGTGGCTTAGACTACATTTAATGCTTTGGATTGTTCTTACTATCGACATTGCAGACATGGAGAGAAGGAGGACATGTGTGTAGAATAGAACACCCATTACTGGGTATGCATAAAACAAACACTGCATCTCGGCTAAACCAGACCATAAATCTTATCTTGAATTTAAGCATGTTTGCTCTGTTTTTAAAAAAACCTAGCACATTTGCACATTGCACAAACAGCCCAGCTGTACTGCTGCATAGACTGATTTTTTTATCCCAAGCCTGTGATTTCCTATTAATATATTTTTAGTAAAGCGATTAAAAATCTGTAGCCACATCCAATGACACAAACTTTAAAAAATAAACACCCATGATTAGAATATGCAATAAAACAACCTCATTAAAACAACTTAGTTATCAGTAGTGAAACCATAGTTAAACTATGGTTTATCGTGACATCTAAACCAGGCTGTAAGGAAAGCTTTCCAGACAGCTTGAGCTTTTAATTAGAAATGCAACCATCTTGCAAAGAAGTGCTATCATTAAAACTGCGTGTGAAGCAGGAACCTCATCAAAAGAAAAAGGAACCTGAAAGCTGTTATCACTTCATTTACTTGTCAGGACAAGGAGGGTGCCTCAAATACCCTTGTACTCCAGCAAATGATGTCATTAATTTTGTTCTGGAAGAATCCCCCAGAGGTTCCTTCTCCTGCCTGCGCCCTGTTCTACTGCACTGCTGTTTAAAACTACCTGTTAAACAATATGCCTGGAGTCCTGTTCACAACAACAAATGTACTAATAGTGTGGACAAAGGGATGTGTGCAAGAGAAATGGGTAGGAGAAATGCCAGCTACTATGTCTCCTGCTTAAAAGGAAAGTCTAAAAAGATGGAGTGAATCTCTTGAACTGCACTCTGGCAACTGTGAAGTTTTTCCAGGGCTGTTCTGGGCAGATGAGAGGGGACTGTGGTCTCTGTGTTGTTGCATTCTTGCCAACAGAAAGTAGGCCTGAGTCAGACGAGTCCCCTGGAGTCCATGCAACAAATACGTTCAGGGCCAAGGGCTAAGTATGCAAACAGTTCTCTGCCCTTTCGTGTCTGACGGGAAGGAGCGTCAGCCTGACCGGGCTGTAACTGAGATGCACGAATAAGCCTCATGCTCTGGAGTACATGGTTAATGTCACTGTACTAGAGT